TTTTTTTTTTTTTTGGGTCAAGGATGGAATTAAAGTTAAATAGTCATTAAAACCTTATAAAGCTATCTGAACTCCTGCTAATTTCACATTCAAGATGAACGAGAGATAAGTTGAACCATTCTCCAGCCCAAACTGACTACCTTGGAAATGAGGAGAGAGAGAGAGAGATTCTTGCATACCTTGAATATCAGGCAGTCTGGGTTGGGAGTAATGACCTGTGGCCACAATGACTGCATCAAAGATCTCTTCCACCACCTTTTCAGACTTCTTCTCTTTGCTTCTAACAACCCATTTCAAATCTTCACCAAATTTTGAATTCTCCCACATCCCCACATAATCAACCCTAACATTAAACCTTAACATCTCCTTCAACCCAAACCATTCACAAAAGTCCTTAAGGTACAAGAAAAGTTCCCTATGGCTCGGAAATCTTCTCATGTCCCTACCTTTCTTCACCAAAAATGGGAAATCACTATAACCCATTATCTCTCTAGGAGAGACCAACCTTATTGACTCATAGAGACTGCTATGGACCTTCAAGGTAGTGCCCTTTCCTAAAGGATCTTCACCCTCAACATTAGGGTCATAAAGCCATTGTCCTCCAAAATCATGGTTTTGCTCCAGAACCACCACATTGTGGCCTTCCTTCCTCAGCTCCCTGGCTGCCACCAGCCCCGACGGTCCTGCACCGATTACGCAAACATTTTTCGATTGATAGATAACAGAAACCATGGTAGTAGTCGGATCTTCTTGTGTGTGTGTGTTTTGTAGGTGGAAATATGTGGGGGGTTTATATAGTTGAATTAGTAAAGAGAGCCATTATATTGAATGGGGAAGTTTGCTCCTTGGGGGACACTCGTGACCTAGTAAAATCATGCATGTTTCAATCTATATTGTTTGGGTTTCCATTTGTTGGATTTGTGATTTATAATTGAATTACGCTAAAACATTTCAAGATTTAAAATAATAAAATCGTAAAAGACATTATGATTAACACAATATACATTATTTAAGAGTAATAGGTGCATCCTAAATTTAGAAAACGCCTTTTTAGAACAATTATCGGTCATTAACATTAGTGTTTTTGAAGTATAATTTGTGGCAAATCAACCATTAATCTAGTTTATATGTTTAATTATGACCGTACGGGTTAGGCACTAGGGCCATAGATGAGCTGTCTCTTCTGGCTTTTATTCCTATGACGTGCATGCAACAGGACCCATTCTGATTTTTTTTTTTTTCCGGAGAGTAGTCCATTCTGATCGATGCAGCGTCCACATGTTCCTAGAATTATTAGCGGGTCTGTTTGAAAGCTTTTACAGTTCTTAGGGCCTACCAGCAATTAAAACTTTTTTGTTCCTGAATTGCCTTAGTTTCTTTACTTTCTCTTTTTTGCAGCAGTTTATGGTCTCTGAGTTAGTTTACGTGCACTTCGATTAACTTTATTTTCAATCAAGTCAAAGGCAAGCCATCTACACCGAAATTAAGGTATTTTTATGAGAAATAATTTCCTATAACCTAACAACAAAAAATAGCTCAAATGTAATAGAGACTAATTATAAATCCAAACATCTTGATTTCGAATCTTATTGAGAGTTGCCCTATCTTTGTCCAAATACCATCTTGCCTTTGTCTTCTAACTCTATCCCCCGAGAATTTATCTTTTTAAAGTTTAGTTGTTCCATTGGATTTAAGAAACATGTTTTGCCTTAATTTGAACTAATTAACTTCTTATCTTTTTATTTTAAAAAGGAAAAAACTAGTTTTGCCAACAATCACTCCTTAATCCTTACAAATGTTGTTAGCCAAACGTTTCATAAAAAAATATCTTACTCATTGTACAAGCTTGTCATCTCTAGACCGGGAATAAGTTATTAGGTAAGTGATAAGTAACATTTTCCCGTTTAAGGGACATTGATTATTGGATTTGAGTTCATATCTTATTGTTTGGAGGATGAACACTTGTCATCGCTCTATATCCGACCTTTTTCTCACGTTTCACAACAGAAGAATTGATTCTGCTACCAACCTTTACAATAATTAACTCTTAATACTATTTATGTTTTAATATATTAATTACTTCAAGTTCAATACTTGGTGCAGAAACAAAAAGTTTAATATCTGCCACAGTATTTTATGGGTCCCCAAATCGATGGGGTTGCCTCTTCTTAAAGCCAAGGGAACATAGACAATCATGGAATAGTTATCATGTTCATTCAATACAAATTCTCTTGTTATCATAAGACTTTCAACTTTGGTCAAGTAAACTCTTCTTTACCACACTTTCTTCTTTCTTCTTCATCATTACTGCTGAATAAAGATTATCAAAGAAAGAAGAAACCACTCATGTGCATTAACAAAGTTATTTTTGTGATATAGTCTAGAATAGACGTAAACAAGTTCCGAAATTTGATAGTCTTAAAACCCGAGTTTAATTGTTGACCATTGATAGCATGTGCTCTTGATTTGTGTTCGTCCAAAGTTTGCGTTGTAGCTATAAATCCAAAGAACGTGTGGTTGTGATGAATTCCCTTTTTTTTATTAGAAAAAAAAACCTCTGTAAAGCAACATTTCATCTTTGTAAGGGACTTTATACTTTGATTTTCATGTTTGATTTAGTTTTTTTTTTTTTTAAATCACTTGATCAGCTGGAAAATATAACTTTTTTTTCAATTTTTTGTGCATAAAATTTCATCAAGAATATATATATCGGTTTACAAAATAGTAAAATTAGCATTCGTTGAAGAATCTGTCATGACATAATCACTTTTTTCCCAATGGCAAAAACTATATCGAATACAAATATATAAATTAAAGGGGTTGGGAATTATATCTCGGATAGTATAAAATGATGACAAATTAAACGTCGTTTTATGTGACAAATAAACATAAAACAACGCCATTTTGATTTAATTTTTTTTTGCTTCAGCCTCTACCGTTGCAAATACTCATTTATTTTGCATTGGGGCACCTTGCCGATGCAAATATTGCCTTTTTTTTGCATCGGGGACTCTTGCCGAAACAAATAATCAATTTTTTTTTTTGACAAATAGGGTTGAAGCAAAAAATTAAATATTTAAAAACACCGACTCAAAAGTCTTGTTTTCTTGTAGTTGTATAAAGTACAAGGAAATACTTGTTTAATTACCACATGAAGATTTGATTTATCTTATGGAAAGCTTGCAAGTCACCCTACGTTGATGGTGGTCTAACCCAACTTTTGGACCATCTTTCTCTGAGGACCACCTTCTATAATCCGAATCTACGTAACAAGTTTGTTAGAGATAATCATGTATGTGCCCCTATACATATATAAGATTTTTCTTCAGTACCAGAAAATTATTTTTTAGTATTATTCCAAAAGTTACAACTCAATAGGTCAAATTTTTATTTAACGGGTCAGTTTAGGGTTAACAAAAAAAGTTGGTATCGAATTTTAGGATCGATACAAAATCATTTCACCTCATCGATTAAAAACTTTCTTTCTTGTACCCTCGATTTGAATGGTCCTTTTTTTTTAAGCCACAAAGGCTAACACAAAATTGAATATTAATATACTGTAAGTCTTGCTATCGAGGAGTATATTCAAAGGTTAGTAACAAAGGCCAAATGGCCTTGTACATTTTGGAAGTGCAACAATTTTACTTACTCGAGAAAAACTTTGATTAATTGCAATGTACGTTAGATATTACCATTTGTCGATATGATATCATACATTTTTTTAACTTAAAATGAGATCCTATTACTTTAACAGAAAAAAATAAAATGAGTGCCAATTGTTGAATGATTAATGAGTGGTTTGGTACAAACAGTGGACAGTTAAGAGGGAGACAAGTCAAATGAGATGGGCATAATCTTGGGAGAATTATAGTGTAAATTAATACTATTAATTGTTGATTCATTGATTAGGTTTATAATTTTAGTTGGTGAAAATTCTTTTTTAAAGTTAGTGCGATTTTGAAAGATATTGGTGAATTTCAAATTAAAACTTGTGTTTGTGTGAATATATATGATTATGAATATATAATATAGAAATGTTATACATCGCATCTAATCAAAGTCACAAGAAAGCTTTTAGATTTTATATCTTCTAATGAGAAGTTCAATTTTGTGAATGATTTCTGATGATGTGTGAACTGAAAGCGTGAGATAGTGATGCTGAAGTTTAAGAGCTCAAAACTTGTATGCAATGTTATGAGTATGAAACAAGTATTGAGAAATATAATGGACACGTAGACTATAGTGGTTCATCAGCCGAAAAACTTGGTTGATCCATTCTAATGGAGTCATTTGCTCTTTAGGGGATTGTCTATTACGCCCAAGCTGCAGCAGATGGCGCTGACCTTCCTACATGCTAGGGAGAAGATCTTGCTTCTTGCTGCTCATCACATCCTCAATCTTTGAAGTTGTGTTGTTCGAGATTGAGTTGTGATAAGTAAGGATCGATTTGCTAAGTATGGTATCATCAATTTCCATTAAACTTATGTACATGTAGAGACCTGTTTTTCCATTCTAAAAATTTGTGTACGATAAGGCAATTTTGTCATCATTAATAAACGAGAACTACAAGTTCTTTAGACAGGTGGTTGTTACAGAAATTTTGAATACATGTAATCACGCTCAAATCAAGTGTATTGAGTCAACCAAAATATCTTTTGTAAGAGTCGAACTTTATTTTTTGTAGGAAAAAAAAATTAAAAAAATATCCCCCTCTGTGTTTCTTTTCCTCCACTTACTCTTCGTACCAAATGTTGGCTATTTATCTCTCACCTTCATCTTTTGTCTTCTTTTATTGACTGCAATTCTCTCTGTTACTATGCAAAACATACAATACAAAGCACAACATGATCTGCNTGTTTGTGTGAATATATATGATTATGAATATATAATATAGAAATGTTATACATCGCATCTAATCAAAGTCACAAGAAAGCTTTTAGATTTTATATCTTCTAATGAGAAGTTCAATTTTGTGAATGATTTCTGATGATGTGTGAACTGAAAGCGTGAGATAGTGATGCTGAAGTTTAAGAGCTCAAAACTTGTATGCAATGTTATGAGTATGAAACAAGTATTGAGAAATATAATGGGCACGTAGACTATAGTGGTTCACCAGCCAAAAAACTTGGTTGATCCATTCTAATGGAGTCATTTGCTCTTTAGGGGATTGTCTATTACTTAGGAAAGAAAGTATGCCCAAGCTGCAGCAGATGGCGCTGACCTTCCTACATGCTAGGGAGAAGATCTTGCTTCTTGCTGCTCATCACATCCTCAATCTTTGAAGTTGTGTTGTTCGAGATTGAGTTGTGATAAGTAAGGATCGATTTGCTAAGTATGGTATCATCAATTTCCATTAAACTTATGTACATGTAGAGACCTGTTTTTCCATTCTAAAAATTTGTGTACGATAAGGCAATTTTGTCATCATTAATAAACGAGAACTACAAGTTCTTTAGACAGGTGGTTGTTACAGAAATTTTGAATACATGTAATCACGCTCAAATCAAGTGTATTGAGTCAACCAAAATATCTTTTGTAAGAGTCGAACTTTATTTTTTGTAGGAAAAAAAAATTAAAAAAATATCCCCCTCTGTGTTTCTTTTCCTCCACTTACTCTTCGTACCAAATGTTGGCTATTTATCTCTCACCTTCATCTTTTGTCTTCTTTTATTGACTGCAATTCTCTCTGTTACTATGCAAAACATACAATACAAAGCACAACATGATCTGC